GTCATCAGGACATGCGTATTTGTATCAATGATGGCTTTTAAGGAACTTCAGTGACCCAAGTTATAAAATCAGTTTGATTAGTCTTGTGTCTTTTTCAGAATTAGTTCTGATTCCATCCTTGTTAGTTGGATTCATAGGAGCTGTTGTGGACTTCAAAGTAACAAGAGCTTTATGTCCTTGAGAGATTTCACAGAATCATAGAATACTAGGACTGGAAGGGACCTCAAGAGGTCATCGAGTCCAGCCCCCCGCCCTCAAGGCAGGACCAAGCTCCACCTACACCATCCCTGACAGATGTCTATCTAACCTGTTCTTAAATATCTCCAGAAATGCGAATTCCACAACCTCCCTGGGCAATTTATTCCAGTGTTTAACGACCCTGATAGTTAGGAACTTTTTCTTAATGTTCAACCTAAACCTCCCTTGCTGCAGTTTAAGCCCATTGCTTCTTGTTCTATCCTCAGAGGCCAAGATGAACAAGTTTTCCCCCTCCTCCTCATGACACCCTTTTAGATATTTGAAAACCGCTATCCTGTCCCCCCTTAATCTTCTTTTTTCCAAACTAAACAAGCCCAGTTCATGAAGCCTGGCTTCATAGGTCATGTTCTCTAGACCTTTAATCGTTCTTGATGCTCTTCTCTGGACCCTCTCCAATTTCTCCTCATCTTTCTTGAAATGCGGTGCCCAGAACTGGACACAGTACTCCAGCTGAGGCCTAACTAGTGCAGAGTAGAGCGGCAGAATGACTTCACGAGTTTTGCTTACAACACACCTGTTGATACAACCTAGAATCATATTTGCTTTTTTTGCAACAGCATCACACTGCTGACTCATATTCAGCTTGTGGTCCACTATACCCCCTAGATCCCTTTCTGTAGTACTCCTTCCTAGACCGTCGCTTCCCGTTCTGTATGTGTGAAACTGATTGTTCCTTCCTAAGTGGAGCACTTTACATTTGTCTTTATTAAACTTCATCCTGTTTACCTCTGACCATTTCTCTAACTTGCTAAGGTCATTTTGAATTATGACCCTATCCTCCAGAGCAGTTGCAACCCCTCCCAGCTTGGTATCATCTGCAAACTTAATAAGCGTTCTTTCTATGCCAATATCTCAATCGTTGATGAAGATATTGAACAGAGCCGGTCCCAAAACAGACCCCTGCAGAACCCCAATTGTTATACCTTTCCAGCAGGATTTAGAACCGTTAACAACAACTCTCTGACTACGGTTATCCAGCCAATTATGCACCCACCTTATCGTGGCCCTATCTAAGTTATATTTGCCTAGTTTATCAATAAGAATATCATGCGAGACCGTATCAAATGCCTTACTAAAGTCTAGGTATATGACATCCACCGCTTCTCCCTTCTCCACAAGACTCATTATCCTATTAAAGAAAGCTATCAGATTGGTTTGACATGATCTGTTCTTTACAAATCCATGCTGGCTGTTCCCTATCACCTTGCCACCTTCCAAGTGTTTACAGATGATTTCCTTAATTCCTTGCTCCATTATCTTCCCTGGCACAGTAGTTAAACTAACTGGTGTGTAGTTTCCTGGGTTGTTCTTATTTCCCTTTTTATAAATGGGCACTATATTTGCCCTTTCTTTCTTAGTATCTGCCAATAAATTACTGATGTTAGTGCTCACCCTGAGCATCCTTTAAGTCTATCTAAAACTTTAGGCCATATAATGTCTTGTGCTTCTGTACCCGCAGTCTTGTAGCAAATTGGTGTTTGCTCTTAATTTTTTTCCTCCTCATAGAATTGTCAAAGTTGTTTTGGCTTCTTCTAATGTCTTTTCAGTTGTGGTTGATCCTGAGATGTGTGCCAGGGGTATCTGTTTCCAAGTCCAAATCCACCATGATTCTAAATACTCATGGATACTGAAATAGGTGGGGGTGATAAGACTAATTTAAGACATGTGGTATTTTGTCATTGAAGGACTTCTTGAATCCTCTCCATGTCTTGACGTGAATAATGATTTGCTTACGTGGTATTTTGTAATTGAAGGACGACTTGAATCCTCTCCATGTCTTGACGTGAATAATGATTTGCTTAGCATGCAAGTCTTTTTTCCCATTACTCAAGGGTCTTTCATTACAAGTGTAGGTAGTGAATTCCACAGTGATGTATTCTATCAATAGGCAAAGATGGGACAAGATCAGAAGTACAAGTAAAAGTATCAGAGACCGATATAAAAGTCGGAGGTAGAAGTAAAATTTTCGGCAACCAGAGAGATGCATTGGGGGGAGATGCATTGAGGATCTCTGGAGGATGCCTTTCTCATTCCGTGGACAATGCATCTGTTGCATGCCTTCACCCTATTTCCACTAATTCTGAAAAGTATTAAGAAAAGTGATATGGGATAGAGCTTGAGTTATCTTCATAGCTTCAGCACAGTCTCGCCAATTCTGGTTTTCAGATATACGGAATTCTTCAAGGGACCAACTAATAATTCTTCAAAAGGATATGTTCCCAAACTCAATTTAATGTGTCATTTGGATCCAGCATCTTTGCACTTGAGAGCATGGAATATTTTCCATTAACACCAGTGGAAAAAGAATGCTCTTTGGTGGTGAAAAAAGTATTGTTGCGGAGTAGGAAATCTTCTAGAAAAATATAAGTGGGCAAGATGGGAAAAAAGTTTCGTCTTGGGTGAAGAGAAAAAGATATGTTTCTACTTGCTATTCTGTTCAACTCACTCTGGTTTACCTTTTATAGTTAAAATATTCATTCGTGGGACAGAATTTAGTTCTTTCAGGTTTAATGAAACCACCTTTTTTACTTGTTCTGTTCCTTATTTATTGATGGGTGCATTTTTAGTTCAGCATTTTATTGTACACTGCAGGTTTGATACACCCATCACCGTTTGGTGGTGGTTTGTGTTATAACTCAATAGCTTGGTTTTAGGGCTGTGTGGTCCTGTGGCCTTAGTGCAGTGGTCCCCAACCTTTTGAGGTTGTTGGGCACCAGGGGGCGTGGACGTTCGCCTGCCGGGCGCCAGAGGGCGGGGACACTTGCGCGCCCGGGGGCAGACCCCCCCCCCTCGCCGGGGGCTGGGGGGTGGGGCCC